TGTGTGTGTGTGTGTGTGTGTGTGTGTGTGTGTGTGTGTGTAACGGCGAACAATATTTCTTTAGTTAAGTATAGTTTTAAGTCCATTGCAACACAATTGTGTCATAAAGGTGCCGAAGATTTTAAGTATTACAAGGGAGTAACAAGCACATACTCAAAAAAGGAGGAGAGATAAAGATTATCGATGTTTGATAGGAAAAGAGGAGCAAATCACTCCAGAGAACCCACCAATCACCTATGAACAAATCTGAAATGTGTAACATATACTTTAACATCTTAACTTCCAGCCAAGAAAAATCTTTGTTATAGAGTGCTTTATACTTATGGTATGGGCAGCATTTCTTTTGTGTGCACACAATGAGATTTTGCGCTAATTTGTTAATGACATCACCACGTTTTGTGAAGATGCTTCCGCGCAAAATGGTACATTGGCATCATTTTGTCGATAACTCAGCCGTTTCCATTTTTCGAGGCTCCCAAAAGCCCAAACATGGCTATACTAAAAATGCTTCAGTGAGTAAGTCAGAGATCATATTTACTGGACAAAGCAGATTTTGGGCTCACCCATAAGTCAGTCCGTATTATGGTGGACTACTGAACGGATGGTTTGGGTTCGATTCCCCAAGTGGTGTTCTAAACTTGTGTTATTTGGGGGAGGTTGTTGTTTTTTTTTAAAAAAAGGATATCCACTAATTTGGTTCTGTCCTACTTGAGATGAATGTTGAAATCGGAGGTCCCACATTTGAAACAATCTTACAGTTTTGAAATAGTCGTGAAATCTGAACAAAAACTGTGACAAAACGGGTTTTACATAGGCAAAAGTCAAAGTAACGACTACAGGCCAATAGCTAATAGACAAGAGAAGAATAGAAATAGCTAGTTATTCCCAAAAGGGGGACATTAACATGTTCTTATGTCATGCTCACATTGCGCCGGAACAATAAGGGGGGCCTGCTGTTTTTTCTTTCACCATCCTTACTAACGTCATTTTCTCTACTTCTTTTGTATGTTTGTCACTTTCTTGTGAACTGCTATTTCCTGGGTGCCTTGATAGTCGAAGCAGACTTTGAGCTGTTGAAGCTAGAGAGGCAAGCTAGAGTAAGCCTGATTCCCTGATTGGACTTCTCTGTTGACATCCACCCCTTGGCGCTCATATGACCGTAAGCAATTGCGAGCGTCGTAAAACCTTACGAAACCAAAAAAACCCAAAACAAACAAACCCAAAATCGAACAAGAGCTAGATACACATAACGTGTCTTTGTGACCCCAGTGAGAACAGAGGTTGACACGACCTACTGAGGTCACATCACTGGCATGGACACGTACTCACATCTCACTGGATGAAGGAAAAAGGTACGTTTCCCTTGTCATGATGACCCCCTTCTCTCTGTCTGTCTGTCTGTCTGTCTGTCTGTCTGTCTGTCTGTCTGTCTGTCTGTCT